CTGTTCATCTGTGTCATTTCCAACCATTTGTTTTTTTTGACCTGCTGCTGCATGGTTCTTTGAAGTGCGCACAACCTCCCAATCAATCCAAGAACTGATTGAAAAAATCAGCAGACTTTAATCTGACTTGTTGGCCTTCACGCCACTGTTCATCTGTGTCATTTTCAACCATTAGGTTTTATTGACCTGCTGTCGCATGGTTCTTTGTAGTGCGCACAACTTCGCAATCAATCTAGAACTCTTCTTTATAAACTTTGTTTGAACAGTTGATGAAGACAATTCGAATGCGCCCTTAGTAGTTGCTGTTGCTTCTGCTGCTGTTTTTGAATTCTTTATTCTCACGATGGCACCATCGCCAATAAGAGATAAATTTATGAGAAGGTGAGATTGTGGGTTAAACAGTTGGAAAGTGATTTACATCACTTTGAACTTTACAAGTATGGGAGAGGGTGAGCGCTGCAGGAGCAGATTGAGTTAATCAGCAGTGAGCAGATTTCTTGTTTGAAAGCAGGTCGGGAGGAGACGTCACGAATGCTAGCAGGGAGGGCATTGTAGTATTCTAGGGACTTGTACAGTGGGGAGTCTTTACAGCGATCGGTTCTGGAGGGTGGGAGGTGCCAAGTGCGTGCGTGTCGAAGGCTGTACTGGGCCGTAACTTGAGCGGGGGTGTTGAGCAAGCGTATGTGTTGTGGGGCATATTGGTATTTTATGGAGTGGGCAAGAAGGGTGAGCTTCACTTTGCGGCGAGAGAACATTGTCGGCCATTTGAGCCGATGGAGCAGTGTTGAATGATCCAGAGGAGTGTAGAGGGGGAGGCGGAGGCAGATTCTGGCCGCCTTGCGCTGGATTCGCTCAAGACGGTCAAGGGCTGCGATTGAGAGTGGGGTGACAGCAATGCATGCATATTCAATTATGGGCAGGATATACGTTTTGTAAATGAGAGAGAGTGATTTAGTGTGTAGAGTTGATTTGAGCCTAAAGAGAATATTAAAAGATTGTACAGCTTTCTTTAGCACAAAGTCAAGGTGGGCTGACCATCTTAGGTCGTGCTGAAAGATGATGCCGAGGTGACGATGTTGTGTTACTGTTTCTAGTAGGGTTTGGCCAAGTTTTATTTCGGGTAGTCGTGGTGGGGGTCGGTTAGCATGGTAGAACGGGAGGATGACGGTTTTCGTTTTATTGACTAGCAGGTGCCAGCGCTCTAGCCATTTTGCTGCGGCATCGACGCTTCTTTGTAGCGCAGCCTCACACTCAATGTAGCTGCCTGCAATGGCAATCAGTGCGGTGTCGTCCGCGAACTGGCTACACGAGGTTGTAGCATTTTCACAGGCAGTGGGCAGGTCAATGGTGTACGTCAGGAACAGAAGTGGTCCCAGGACCGAGCCCTGGGGCACTCCCGCTGGTATTGGTATGAAGGCGGATGTTGTGCCTTCAACCTGCACCCGCTGTCTGCGTCCTGTCAAGTAGGCTTCGAGCCAATTGTGAGCCTTGCCGTCAACACCGTAGTGGCTCAGCTTTTTCAGCAAGCCTTGATGCCATACACGATCAAAGGCTTTACTGAGATCGAAGAAACACGTTACAACATGCTTCCCCGCATCCCTAGATGTGGATATCTGTTGATGCTGCTTTTGCTATGGTCGTCATCGTTTTGTTGCTGCTGCTGCTCTCGTAACTCTTGCTGTTCTACTATTTTTTGGAATTCATTTATTGCACGGGGTCTATTCTAAAGACTGTAAAACCAGAAAGTTTAACAACCAAATTCTTTTTTTTGAAATTTTGGCCTAATAACGTGCGGAAAGTTTAACGATGGCTATCTGGTCAGCCACCTGGTACACATCTGTATGCACAGACATTATTCTCCCCATATATAATTATAAAAAGTAAATTATCGTGTCCGTTCCCGAAGGGAACTCACGACAGTCGCTAACACCCGATAAACCCTATCTCCCCATAACGTTTCTTGAGATAACGAAAAAAACTGGTCGCTAAACGTTAGAATTTGTGACTCGTTAGATTTTCCGGTTTTACAGTAATAGAGAAGTTAAGATGCACCTTCTTTCCAACGTCACGCACAATTTGCCGTCAAATTTGAGGTAAAACTCCAAACTTCCGTGAGCTGCAGGTCACTCGTGTCGTTTCCGACGCGCAAGCCATATAATGCCAGCTGAACTTTCGCATGAAGCCAGAAAAAAAACGTGCACCTTAACCTCTCTATTGTGTGCATCAGATCATGCGTGATTTCACCTGGGGTCCATGGCTGCATAAAAACTGTGTGAATGCACTTTGGATGGGGGTAGGGGGATTATATGCCGAGTGGCTTGTAAGGGCAAGGTATTGTATGGGTTGGGCTGCACACACACGCACACACACACACACACACACACACATCCTCTCACACACACACACACACATCCTCACACACTACTACTACTACTATAGCATGACTGCCCATTGGGCAATGTCACCCCCGGAGGGGACCAGAGTTTGGAGTGCACCGTCATTGGCAGGACTTCTGGTGCCTCGTCAAATCTTGCTGTCGTCGGAAACGTTTCGGGCAATGCATGCAGATCAGCGGCAGTGATTCCCTATCGGCTGCAGCAAGACGTTTTCCACGGTTGCAGTTATGGCGGTTAAAACCAGCCCGGGACTTGAAGCAGCGATTGCAGCGTTGACAATGCTGGAAGCAGCAACTAGCGAGAGACGCCGTCAATGCCGTATCTGCATGTTCAGGGAGTGCAGGCTGGCAGCGATGAACTGCAAGCCCACCCTTACTACGGAACCATCGGCAGCAACTGACGCACCGTGCTGAACCACGCTGTTGGTGAACGGGAAGTTGGCGCTCAGCCAAACACTTGTGCCGTGCCTTGTCTTGAGGACGAGAGAAAGCCCGGTTGCAAGATGAGCAGAGTACGGATTTCTCTACTGCCCGAGGAGGCTGAAAAACCAGAACCTGCTCTCGCCAAGCTGACCGGTCTTGTGCGCAATCAAACCAGTTTGGAATGGACTTCGTGTGAGTAGCCACAACGTCTCTCCACCTACGCCTGGGACCGCAGAAGGGGCGCGCAGCCAACAAACGACCAAACAACAACTGCAATGGGACACGGTCCTCCGACATCCGAGCCACATGACCAAGCCACTCTAAACGACGATGGCGCATCTTAACAGAGAGTGGCACTGGGTCACCCCAGTGACGACGTAACTGCGCAGACGTGATGCGATCGGATTGCTGCTGACTGCGAGGGATGGCTAATATTGTGCGGATGCAGCGATGATGGAAGGCATCCAAACGTCTACTATCAGCTTTCAAGGGCGTCCAGCACTCACTGCCGTACAGCAAAATGGACAAGACACAGGCCACGTATAGCTTTCGCTTACTGACTAATGACAGCGAGCGATCCGACAAGACTGGAAGAAGAGCTCCAAAAGCTTTGGAAGCCTCAGCTATGCGGCGACTGATGTCAGTAGAGGAGCGGGCATCCGGTGTCACGACGGACCCCAGATAAATGAAGGATGGAACGTGCTCCACAGTATCACCGTTGACGTTCATATCGGCTCTATCAGGCATGTTGACTTGGCTACCTGCCACGAGAAATTTCATTTTAGCAGCGTTGACGCAGAGGCCAAAGGAAGAGGCAACCGTGCAGAATGTTTCAAGGCACTTCTCAGCACCAGGGCGGTCTTCAGCGAGCAAGACCGCGTCATCTGCGTACTCAATGTCGTTGATGATTGCGGCAGTAGACTGGCGAGCGGGCTTAGAGAAAAGGTTGCCATTGATGCTAAATTGGATGGGGATGCCAGGTGGATGGTCGCTGTCCTGCATCACTTGTGCCCACTGCTCAAGCACAACACCGAAGTACAGATTAAAAAGTACTGGGGCCATCACACAGCCTTGACGGAGGCCATTGTTGACCGCAAACGGCTCGGTAGTGCTGGCACCGACGCGCACAGCTGCCTGCATGCTCTCGTGGAACGATTGGATTAGATTGAGGAGCCCTTCAGGAATGCCTAGCCTCCCCAATGCTAGCCAGAGTGCTTGGCGTGGTACGGAATCATATGCTTTCTTCAGGTCTACGAAGACACAGAACAGCTTCTGACGGTGCTCGTACGATTTCTCGATGAGCTGGCGAATGGAAAAGATGGCATCAGCGCAGCCGCGACCAGGGCGAAAGCCACACTGGGATTCTGGAAGTTCTTGTTCCGCGACAAGTTGGAGACGGTCCTGAATGAGACGGCCACAAACCTTGCCAGCGACATCTAGTAGGGCAATGCCGCGCCAGTTGTTGCAGTTGGTCAAGTCACCCTTTTTGGGAATCGGGACGAGTTGGGCATCCCGCCAATCCTGGGGAACCTTTCCGTTGGTCCATGCAGTGCTCCCACACACACGCACGCACACACGCACGCACTCACGCACGCACTCACGCACCGCACCCACCCACTCACCCACCCACGCACGTATGCACGCACGCACACACACGCATACACACCCATGTACATGCACCCACGAACGCATGCACACATGCATACACACACACATACAAACACGCACATGTACATAATACTTATTTTCATTGTCCTGCCTTGAACTGCAGTAGAACATTTGCAGAAGGTGAAATCATCAGAAAGCCAGATGCTTGCTTCCATCGAGAGTTTTATATCCCAGATCGGACGTCTGCTTCCAGTACCTCCTTTTCAGGACTCTGATCTTGATAATCCTGATCTTGAGGATTTTGCGTACGAGTCCATGTCGGCCGCAAAATCGGCCTAGTGTGAACCCGGCGTTAGCAGCTTCGTCTGTGACGAGGCGCAGGGCCAGGGTGACAGCCATTGATGATTGAGTCTTCACACCTTGCCAGTCTTGCATGTAACTAATACAGTACACGTAGCCTCGCTTGCGCCCACATTGTCGCCTGGCTATTGGCTCATTCGTGATTTTGGCGCTCTAGCGTGCGATATAGGATTCATCTTGAATCAAGCTTGATTCGTTTCTTTTCCACTCTTGACTCAGTCCTCAAAAAGGGCTGCAGCCTTCATTGGCTACAAGACACCTAGTCCTTGCGGTACTATCGAGCGTGACGCTTGGTGGGAGTCTATGGTGTGCTGGCACCGCAACGTGGACTCTACGCTACCGAAACACAACGTACAACGGAAACAACACACCTGTGAGAGAGCGGACCAAACGCCGGCAACGGAATACGGCTAGCTGTGCAGAGCGTGCACGGCTGGGCGACCGGACGAGGTATGCAGCTCTGGCAACTGTTTTGCCCCCACGTGTTGAAGGAGCGGCTTACGAGAAAGCTATGAACACTAGCGGCAGTCACGGGAGACGAGTTGTCGACGCAATACTAGTAGCCGAGGCCAATAATGCCGCTTCATTCTGGCGAAGTAAAAATACCGGTAGCAAACAACCAATGGCCCCTGGCCGCAAGACGCTCTAGCGAACTTCTTCTCCGCGTGGCTTGGTCGCCGACCTCCAGAGAGCCTCACTGGACATGTCATCACTGAAGGCTCAGTCACTATCAACAAAGCACTCGGCTCTGAAGGGACTATGATGTTTGCGGAATGGTCGACGTCTGCTTTCCGGGACCAGGTAGCTACTCAGCTGAAAAAGCACCGAAGACGAGGGAGTGCGTGGTGTGTTCCCAGCACATCGACACGTCGTTCCTACATCCCCTTTCAAGCCTTTGTTTTGTCCTTTTCCTCGTTTCTTTTTAATAGTAAGTCAAGCGGGCGAGGAAATATTGCTATCCTGCAGTGAATACGTATTGCTGTCCCGCAGTGGAGCGCAGTCGACGACAGGTGAACACTCGATCGAGCTCCGCGGAGGGTTGTCGATGGCTGCTAGTCCCGGCAGGCCAGCCTCAATCAGCGGGCAGCGGACGGTAGCGCGCTACCTGAGGCAGTACATGTACTATTAGTCAGTGTTAGCGCAAGAAGATGCGTGTGCGGCCGGAACCGCATTCAATGTACTTTGCGGAAGAATGACGGAAGAGTTTTCCGAGCAGCGACTAATGACAACATCCGACGACGGGAACTCTGGCAAAACCGAGGAGTGTCAAGGAAGAAGTCACCTTGTCTGTCTCAGCGAGTCAGTACAGATATTGCAGGTAAGGCCGCTAAGAACCAGTTTTCTAAAAATGACTCGCGATCATGACACAGTACTGTCAAGGGCAATAGTACGCTCTCAAGAGTGTCACTGTCCAACAGTTACTCTGCATACAGCAGGGTCTAAAACTCGCATCACGTGTTTCAAATGCGATTTGTACGGCGTACAACGAAAATAGCGTCCGTGCAGTTTGAATATCTGCCATGGTCATGCTGTAGACTTGGACTAAGCTGGGTGGGTTTCTGTCGGGGAGTGGTATTATTTCAACTCCATTGGTCCCTAAAAACGGGCTGGGACCGTACAGAGGGAACACTACACCACGTGATGTGAGTTTTCGCCGTCGGAGAAACCAAGAGTACATGAAGAAAACCAGAGTGTGCAGCTCGGATAGGTTGCTGTCACGGCGGAAATCCGTGATTACCGGTACATCATTTTAGTGATGTAGTGCGTAGAAGCAGGATTCAAGCAGGTCTCTTCCTGCACAACTCAGCACTATGCCATTTCCCGCCTCAGATCTGCGCCAAATATGATGTAATCACGGAATTCTGCCGTGACAGACACCCATAGCAGAAAAGGCCCCAAGCTGCACACTCTGGTTTTCATGTGCTCTTGGAGAAACCCATAGAAAGCGTGTCAGGATTGTCTCCACTATGGCCGGAGGGGATTAGCTAACATATGCAGTCCTGCATATGACTGTATGCATGTACAGAGATGTAATCCACGTTGGTGACAGCTGTTCACACGTATGTTCAAATTAAGCCATATTCGAATTATCAGGATTCCACCTGTAGTGAGGCGGACATGTGCGGTGTAGACAGTAGTCTGTGTGGTTACCTAGTACAACTAACTGGTGAAGCACTGCAATTTGGCGCAGTTCATGTCCTGATGCAATCATACACTCTGAAGCATTACTCTGGTGCTAGAGTGAGCAGTCTTCTTCTGCACTTGGGCAGGGTTCTGGTAGGAGAGCGCTCCGCACCCCTGTGATAGTTCAAAGTCATACCTATGATAGGTATTAAGCTAGTTCAGTAGTCGTTGACTCACACTTGCACATCCTCATCGTCATCGAAATGAACACTGATATCACTAGTGACTTCTGTGGGTGAAGACGCATCCAGAACCATTGTCTTTGTGTCAAGTGACTGTGTTTCTCCTATGCCTATGTGATGTTGTTTTCAGTTCTCAGGGGATGCTGAAAGGTCTTGGTACAACACACTGAAGCGTATCCGACAGGGTAAGTCCACTAGATTGTAGCAACTACGAGGCGTAAAAGAAATGTGAAAACAATAAAAACAATGAAGACAGAAAACAATCACCAGGGGAATATTCAGTAGTTGAGGGAATAGAAAGGGGCCTGGACAAAATTAAATGCTGACAATAAAAATGTTAAACGGCGCTCTCATATTCTATACAAAAGCTGTCTGCTTGACCTACGAGGTTCTATCGAAGGGGTCGTCCACAAAACGAAATGATTTCGTTATGGGGTGGGAGGGGGTCGACCAATTTCGTTTCAGAAAACATTGATACATGTACACGGCCATAGGAGCAGTGACACACTTGCGACTTTTGCATGTATCAAGTGAACATTTTTTTCCGTTCTGAGGGGGAGGGGGAGGGAGGCGTTGGGTCCAAACTAGAATAATTCATTGAAAAGTTCGATATTCACGGATGGCCCAAGGAGTCAAATAAAAGTAATCAAATATAATGGACTCGGATGGAGAGGCAAAGATAAATGTATGGTAAATAAAAAATGACCAAGACATTATACAATGTCATGTAGTTGTCGTATCTTGCAGTTTCTTGGTCCTTTTTCTTTACTATAAGGTCAAATATAACTGCGTATTTGACTAGGTAGTCAAATACGCAATATATTTGACCGGTATCTGGGAAATTAGTGGGGTCAAATACTAAGAAGGCGATAAAAGGTTTATATTAGGAGTATTATGCGGTTTATATGACCATGTGGTTTATATGCCCAATATAAACCACCTGCCCGATGGGAAAATTGGGTGGACGTTTGTATGACAGGATAGAATAAAATACTGAATGCAGTGTACAGTGCACAGCTGTGCAGTGGTCAGTGTGCAGTGTGCAGTGTGCAGTGTGCAGTGTACAGTGTACAGTGTGTAGTATAGAGAAGTAGTATGCAGTGTGTAGGTCTTCAAAGTGATGACGTCATACATACTTCAAAGTGATGACGTCATACATACTTGTTCACGTTGTACTGCATGGTGATCCTGGAACCAAGTACAAACTGTGGAGGATTATCGTTGGCATCTGTGATGCTCATTGCCACGAGCACCGCAATGTGAAAGCTCGCGGCGGACGCCTTTGTCTGTAGCTGTGATTATGAACTGCCAGAAGTAGGATGTTTCCTGATCAAATATTGTGGCAGAGGCTATCATGCCACTGTCTGGGTGGACACTAAAGAGAGTTCCCGCTCGGGGCGCCATTGTCGGTAGCTGTGATCATGAACTGCCACTGTCTGGGTGGACACTAAAGAGATCATGAACTGCCAGAAGTCGGATGCTTCCCAATCAAATATTGCGGCTGAGGATATCATGCCACTGTAAGGTTGGACACTAAAGAGAGTTCCCGCTCGGGGCGCCTTGATCATGAACTGCCAGAAGTCTGATGTCTCCCGATCAAAGATGGTGGCATAGGATATCATGTCTTGGTGGACACTAAAGAGAGTTCACGCTCCATTGGTGCTCAGTGAGTATACTAGGTCTGCGTTGAGCCCGATGTTCTTGGCAGCAGTGGCTGTCACTGTCATTATGGAATGACCCGCTGGAAGGTTTCACGGATTTTCCCACCGTAACTTGCCTGATCGAATGCTGGCGTCTCGTCATTCACAGCATCGAGTGTCATGGATAGGCATGTTTTCCGTTGAGTCGCGAGCCATCGGCACTGCTATCTGTTACCACCACTACGAGAAAGTAAACTGGCATGGACTCGCGGTCCAGTGGAGCAGTGCTTGCGACAATCGCCGTCAGAGGTTCCACAGAAGATGTGATGCACTCAGCCGGGCTGCGACGCTGAACTTGCCTGTGGCAGCACTGCACGACCTTCACCGCACACCGGTGCAGACACTCGGACATGCTCTGCGGACTGAGTGCGTAGGTTAAGTTAGCGATGGCACCGGAGTCGACATCCGAAACCAGAGCGGTGACGACAGGTGTGGCAACACAAAGCATGCCAACAAAATTTCAGGGTACAAACAAACTTTAGTGTCCACTCACATACGCACATAAATACACACATCAAAACAGGAATAATTCATTATTACTCACCAGACGAAGTCGCCTGAACGTGTCCTCATTGCGCAGCAACTGTTGCATGGATTTGCTGACAGCACAGAGCTGATGTCTTGAATAGACAAAATTGGCAACAAGACGTCTTGCCACACATCAAACTGAACACTTTCACGTCCATTCGCTACTAATTCCTGGGCATCCATTGCCAAGATAAGCCTGTAGTAGTAGTGCTGGTTGTCCGATATTTGATCGATGGGACTAGCTACATGTGACCAACAAATACTCACAATTAAGAACGAAATATTACACAATAACGCACACAGAACCTAACACAAAAATCGAAAGTAACCAGTATATTTTACATTATAAAATCATTTGATCACTGTACCTGAAGATAAATAACTACATGTGTAGCCAAGAGTTAACAATCTGGGAGCTTTTATATTTTAGTTATACCAGTACACAGTAGTGACCGCCATTTCATAGATTTTCATTAAATCAGCAGAAAAACGACAGACAGTAGTTTCAAAAAGAAAACTCTTTTGCTCACCGCTGGACCTCTCGCTTTCCGGCGGCCTTGATTTCGCACTAGAGTACCACTTGCACTTGTGTAAGTAGTTAGTTTTGAGCGTTGATGGTCTGGGACAAGACAAGAATGTCCCTATGCGTTTTCTGCTTGAGTGCATGCATCATATACGTCAGCTTGCCGCCTTGCACCCCACGCAACCGGCGAAACTGTGCCATCGCAAAAGTACAGTAGTTGAACTTGGCCCTACTTTCGCGTTGCAACAAGCGATTCGGAGGACGATTCGAACCTTTTCTACAGCAAAGCAGTTCAACAGTTCAAGAGTGGCCCTTTTGTACAATTTGTGCCATAGTACAGTCATGCCCCAGTACAATGCCGGTAGTGCATGCAATGAAGAGGGACCATTAAAGAGGTTCTGCTATAATTATGTGAAACGTAGAGAAATCGCGTAAAGACAAGGTGTCTGAGTTAGAGTCTACGGCTTCGCATGTTTTAGGTCCAGATTTCTACGCGAAGATGAGGTTCTCCACGTTGTGTGCTATTAGCAATCCGTTAAGCCTCAACGGGAACGAGTTCAACGGAACGGACGTGTAACACGGCGTGATTTATTAGGATTAGTTTCTCGCGTTCACCGACAGTCTACGAAACTCGGCTGCTTTCCAGGTTCAAAGAGTTTTTTGATTATTTTTTACAGGCAATGATTGTGCTCACTTTTTTTTGAGACCAGATCTACCGGAATGAAAATGAAAGAAACCCCATGACAGCCACATCGCAGATGAATGAGTGCAGCAAAGGGTTGTGTTCACGATGTCCATTCCAAAACATTCGCCCAAAGACTTTACAATGTCCTGTCAAGGTAGATCTCTCTGTACATGATATACAGTAGAAGGCAGCCATGTTGGTTCCACTTAACTTCATATCGCCGCTAGCAACACATCAGTAGCCGAGAGTGCAACTGTCTGAAGCATCATAATTTGGCACAGTTCATGTCCTACTGCAATCATACAAACTCCAAAGCATTACTCTGGCACTAGAGGAGCTGTCTTCTCCAGCACTTGGGGCTGAGTTTATGTACGGGAGTGCTTCGCCCTCTGTGATAGTTCAAAGTCACGCACATGATAGGGTAATGTTTTAGTTCAGTAGTCTTTCTTTTCACACTTGCAGCTCCTCTTCATCATCGAAATGCAAAGACGGAAATCACTAGTGACTTCTGTGGGTGAAGACGCATCCAGAACCATTCTCTTTGTGTCAAGTGACTGTGTTTCTCCTATGCCTATGTGATGTTGTTTTCAGTTCTCAGGGGACGCTGAAAGGTCTTGGTAAAACACACTGAAGCGTAACCGATAGGGTAAGTCCACTGGATTGTAATAATCATCAGCCATAAATGAAATGTGAAAACAATAAAAACAATGAAAATAGAAAACAATCACCATGGGAATTTCCAGGTGTTGAGGAAATAGAAAGGGGCCTGGACATAATTTAATGTTGGCAATAAAAAATGTTAAACGGCGACCTCATATTCTATACAAATGCTGTCTGCTGACCTACGAGGTGCTATTGAAGGGATCGTCCACAAAAACGAAATAATTTCGTTATGAGGTGGGAGGGGGTTGACCAATTTCGTTTCAGAAAACATTGAAACATGTACACGGCCATAGGAGCAGTGACACACTTGCGACTTTTGCAGGTATCAAGTTAACATTTTTTTCCGTTCAGAGGGGGAGGAAGGGGTTGAGTCCAAACTAGAATAATTCATTGAAAAGTTCGATATTCACGGATGGCCCAAGGAGTCAAATAAAAGTAGTCAAATATAATGGACTCGGATGGAGAGGCAAGGATAAATGTATAGTAAATAAAAAATGACCAAGGCATTGTACAATGTCATGTAGTTGTCGTATCTTGCAGTTTCTTGGTCCTTTTTTCTTTACTATTAGTCAATTATAACTACGTATTTGACTAGGTAGTCGAATACGCAGTATAATTGACCGGTATCAGGAAACATTAGTGAGGTCAAATACTAAGAAGGCGATAAGAGGTTTATATTAGGAGTATTATGTGCTTTATATGACCATTTGGTTTATATGCCCAATATAAACCACCTGTACGATGGGAAAGTTGAGTGGACGTTTGTATGACAGGATAGCATAAATACTTAATGCTGTCTGGAGTGTGCAGTGTGCAGTGTAGAGTGTGCAGTGTGCAGTGTGCAGTGTGCAGTGTGCAGTGTACAGTGTACAGTGTGCAGTATAGAGAAGTAGTATGCAGGGTGTAGGTCTTCAAAGTGATGACGTCGTACATACTTGTTCACCTTGTACTGCATGGTGATCCTGGAACCAAGTACAAACTGTGGAGGGTTATCGTTAGCATCTGTGATGCTCATTGCCACGGGCACTGCAATGTGAAAGCTCGTGGCGGGACGCCTTTGTCTGTAGCTGAGATTAAGAACTGCCAGAAGTAGGATGTTTCCTGATCAAATATTGTGGCAGAGGCTATCATGCCACTGTCTGGGTGGACACTAAAGAGAGTTCCCGCTCGGGACGCCATTGTCGGTAGCTGTGATCATGAACTGCCACTGTCTGGGTGGACATTAAAGAGAGTTCCCGCTCGGGACCCCATTGTCTGTAGCTGTGATCATGAACTGCCAGAAGTGGGCTGCTTCCCAATCAAATATTGCGGCTGAGGATATCATGCCACTGTCTGGTTGGACATTAAAGAGAGTTCCCGCTCGGGGCGCCTTTGTCTGTAGCTGTGATCATGAACAGCCAGAAGTCTGATGTCTCCCGATCAAAGATGGTGGCAGAGGATATCATATCTTGGTGGACACTAAAGAGAGTTCACGCTCCATTGGTGCTCAGTGAGTATACTAGGTCTGCGTTGAGCCCGATGTTCTTGGCAGCAGTGGCTGTCACTGTCATTATGGAATGACTCGCTGGAAGGTTTCACGGATTTTCCCACCGTAACTTGCCTGATCGAATATTGGCGTCTCGTCATTCACATCATCGAGTGTCATGGATAGGTATGTTTTTCGTTGAGTTGCGAACCATCGGCACTGCTATCTGTTACCATCACTACGAGAAAGTAAACTGGCATGGACTCGCGGTCCAGTGGAGCAGTGCTTGCGACAATCGCCGTCAGAGTTTCCACAGAAGATGTGATGCACTGCTGTGACGCTGAACTTGGCTGTGGCAGCACTGCACGACCTTCACCGCACACCGGTGCTGACACTCAGATATGCTCTGCGGACTGAGTGCGTAGGTTAAGTTAGCGATGGCACCAGCGTCGAGATCCGAAACCAGAGCGGTGACGACAGGTGTGGCAACACAAAGCATGCCAACAAAATTTTAGGGTACAAACAAACTTTAGTGTCCCCTTGCTCTTCACTGTTTCTGCAGTGATATACAGGTTTTTGATGGTGAGAATCAATGGTAGTCACTCCACATACACCGACATAACGACATGGACCCAGTCAACAGACGCAGGAGCACACAGAGTGAGGGTAGAAGGCCGCAGCCAGATGGGAACCGGAATGCAGAAGAAAACTCAGAGCAACCACAGGGGACAGCCCCAAGGAGGAAAGAATGAGTACATTCACCTAACATAAATAAGCCAGGACAAGCACCACTTGGGACGGTCAGATTAATTTTTGATGGTGAGAACCAATGGTTTGCTTGAATTAACAGCTCTTCTAAGTGCCCCTTGCAAATAATTGGAGGTTTGCTGACAGAGCAATGTCTGGGCACAGTACAGGTCCTTCCTCGCCATCGAGACTTGTAAGATGACTGGCAACTAAAGATATAAGATGCACAGATTCGTACTTAAAATCGTACGTATCTACAGATATTGAGTATGTGGTCCTGCCCGGTGAAGAGGGATCATTGAACCTATCATATGAGATCAAAAGCATTAAATTTTTAGAACAAGATCCAGCTCGCAAGGAAGCACAAAGATGTATGAGTGGAGTATAACCCTCGGAAAGGTACACAATGTGATTTTCTTCGTACACCACGGCATGCTCTGCTCCCTGTGCTGGAGCTGGACCTTCAGCCATCGTGCCGATGTCTGCTAGAGCGCTGATTGTCCTGCTGGTGTTGGTGCTGCTGCTACTGATGCTGCGCTGCTGGTTCTGAAGCTTCAATGTTACACTGCCTGGGGTGGGAACGCTGCCATCAAATGGATCTGCTCAAGCTTCGGGAACATATAGTATAGAGAAGCTCGAATCAATGAGTCTGAATCCATGAAGGAGTTTGGTATTCGAGTAAGTGACCAGAAAGTATCTGCGGATGGTCGTGTTTTGGACTCACCCGATATCCATCACTCCAAGCAGGAATGCATGTAGTGATAATGTTTCCCTTTACCACCTCAATTTTTAACATGTCTGCTTCCGGACAGTCTGTCATGAAGTATTTAAGCTGCCAACGTGGATTGCTTGCCTTTAGTATAGTCAGTGCTTCAGCGATATCTTCACTCCGCTCAGACTGAATGCAGAACTTTGTGTGAAGAGAGAAAAAGAGAGAAGATGCCAAGATGTCTACCGTCAATACTTCGACGTTCAGGCACTTACAACGCTGTAAAAGCGAAACTAATACGGACACACTTGCCGCCAACAACAGCCGCTCCCCACCACAATAAACTCCGGCGGAGTTTTCGCAGCTGGTGAAACACCTTTGGTGTTTAGTGCGTGAAACTATCCAGTTCTCTTACGATATCCTTTTTTTGGACTCTTCCAAGCACCTCCTCCACCATCGCTTGATTCATTATAGCCACGGCAGTCTTCGATAGACGTTTTCCGTCGAGCACATCTTGCTTTAAAGAGCACTGATATCTGTGCAAGGTGCAAGAGAAAGAAATAAACAAACAAAACTGTAGGCTGTGCCTTGAGATGCCAAATTATCTTCTTCGTCAGAACGCCACCTTCCGCCTTCGCATTTAACTGTGTTACCACCTTGCCAGTAACGTCTACAATCTAGCAATGCTTTTAAAATTACTCATGTGTCATACCACCTTTGCGGCAAGGCCGTCACGGCCGGGGCGGCTGAGGCCGCCCCACTTTTTCCGCTTTTTTTGGGTTTTTTTGAAGCACATTACAACAAAGCACATTGACCGCAGCTTAGCGCAAACGCGACAAATCCTTGTCCCCGATCGTGGTTTGTTGCAGAAAAAAGTCTTTCATTGCAGTTACACTGAAATGGCACCAAATGCCTGGAAATGCTTGCAATAATTATTATCTTAAATATTTTTTTCACGGGGCAGGGTAATGTTTGTCCCCGATCGTAGCATCTTCTTCGTTTGTTGCAGAATCAAAAAGACTTTCGTTGTAGTTACCGTACACTGAAATGGCACCAAATGCCCGAAAATGCTTGCCATTGGCTTCAATTTTTGAAAATTTTCCCGCGGGAGGACCCCCGACCCCCTTCCATGGCCGCCATCGTTATTCATACCGTACGCTTGTGTGTGTGTGTGTGTGTGTGTGTGTGTGTGTGTGTGCGCGTGTGCATGTGTGTGTGTGCATGTGTGTGTGTGTGTGTTGTGTGTGTGTGTGTGTGTGTGTGTGTGTGCACGTATGTGGGTATGCACGTGTGTGGGTGTGCGTGTTTGTGTGCATGAGTTTGTGTGCATGTGTGTGAACATGTGTGCACGTGTTCCTGTCACCTGCAGATTGTGGAAAAGCTCTGCATGGGCATGGGTGCACAGCACAGCCAGAACAATTTTGCACTGTTTGAGTAGTGTGGATCACTATCAAAGAACATCGAAGATCGTGTCATTGTCAATGCATGGCATGGTGTCTGTCTGCTATCAGTCTGTTTATATACGCAGGTTAATCAAATAACAAACCTTATGCATTTCTTCTGCTCTGTTACTGGTCAAATCATACTAGTTACATATCTTTAATCTTTGTTGGCCTTCCCGCCACTGTTCATCTGTGTCATTTCCAACCATTTGTTTTTTTGACCTCCTGCTGCATGGTTCTTTGAAGTGCGCACAACCTCCCAATCAATCCAAGATCTGATTGAAAAAATCAGCAGACTTTTATCTGACTTGTTGGCCTTCACGCCACTGTTCATCTGTGTCATTTTCAACCATTTGGTTTTATTGACCTGCTGTCGCATGGTTCTTTGTAGTGCGCACAACTTCGCAATCTAGAACTGTTCTTTATAAAATTTGTTTGAACAGTTGATGAAGACAATTCGAACGTGCCCTTAGTAGTTGCGGTTGCTTCTGCTACTGTTGATGCTGCTGTTGTTATGGTCGTCATCGTTTTGTTGCTGCTGCTGCTCTCGTAACTCTTGCTGTTCTAGTATTTTTTGTAATTCATTTATTGCACGGGGTAGTGACAAAAACGCTGCCCTCTATTCTAAAGACTGTAAAACCAGAAAGTTTAACAACCAAATTTTTTTTTTTGAAATTTTGGCCAAATAACGTGCGGAAAGTTTAACGATGGCTATCTGGTCGGCCACCTGGTACCCATCTGTATGCACGGACATTATTCTCCCCATAAATAATTATAAAAAGTAAATTATCGTGTCCGTTTCCGAAGGGAACTCACGACGGTCGCTAACACCCGATAAACCCTATCTCCCCATCACGTTTCTTGAAATGACGAAAAAACTGGTCGCTAAACGTTAGAATTTGTGACTCGTTAGATTTTCCGGTTTTACAGTAATAGAGAAGTTAAGATGCACCTTCTTTCCAACGTCACGCACAATTTGCCGTAAAATTTGCCGTAAACTCCAAGCTTCGCGTGAACTGCAGGTCACTCGTGTCGTTTTCGATGCGCAAGCCATATAATGCCAGCTGAACTTTCGCGTGAAGCCAGAAAAAACGTGCACCTTAACCTCTCTATTGTGTGCATCAGATCATGCGTGATTTCACCTGGGGTCCATGGCTGCATAAAAACTGTGTGAATGCACTGTGGACGTGGGTAGGTGGATTATTATGCCGAGTGGCTTGTAAGGGCAAGGTATTGTATGGGTTGGGCTGCACACACACGCACACACACACACACACACACACACACACACACACACACACACACACACACACACACACACACACACACACACACACACACACACACACACACACACACACATCCTCACACTCACACATCCTCACACTCACACGCACGCATACACTCACGCACGCACGCATGCATGCACGCACACACACACACACGCATACGCACGCATGCACATACACACACGAACGGATGCACACATGCATACACACACACATACAAACACACACGAACAAGTACATCATACTTATTTTCATTGTCCTGCCTTGAACTGCAGTAGAACATTTGCAGAAGCTGAAATCATCAGAAGGCCAGATGCTTGCTTCCATCGAGAGTTTTATATCCCAGATCGGACGTCTGCTTCCAGTACCTCCTTTTCAGCACTCTGATCTTGATAATCCCGATCTTGACGATTTGCGTAAGAGTCCATGTCGGCCGGAAAATCGGCCTAGTACTGTGAACCCGGCGTAAGCAGCGTCGTCTGTGACGAGGCGCAGGGCCAGGGTGACAGCCATTGAGTCTTCACACCTTGCCAGTCTTGCATGTAACTAATACAGTACACGTACCCTCGCTTGCGCCCACATTGTCGCCTGGCCATTGGCTCATTCGTGATTTTGCCGCTTTAGCTTGAGATATAGTATTCATCTTGGATTTTGATTCGTTCTTTTCCACTCTTGACTCAGTCCTCAAAAAGGGCTGCAGCCTTGATTGGCTACAAGACACCTAGTCCTTGCGGTACTATCGAGCATGTTGCTTGGTGGGAGTCTATGGTGTGCTGGCACCGCAACGTGGACTCTACGCTACCGAAACACAACGTACAACGGAAACAACACTCCTTTGAGAGAGCGGACCAAACGCCGGAAACGGAATACGGCTAGCTGTGCAGAGCGTGCACGGCTGGGCGACGGACGAGGTATGCAGCTCTGGCAACTGTGTTGCCCCACGTGTTGAAGGAGCGGCTTACGAGAAAGCTATGAATACTAGCGGCAGTCACGGGAGACGAGTTGTCGACGCAATACTAGTAGCCGAGGCCGATAATGCCGCTTCATTGTGGCGAAGTAAAAATACCGGTGCCAACCAACCAATGGCCCCTGGCCGCAAGACGCTCTAGCGAACTTCTTCTCCGCGCGGCTCGCGTCGCCGACCTCCGGAGAGCCTCACTGGACGTGTCGTCACTGAAGGCTCTGTCACTATCAACAAAGCACTCGGCTCTGCAGGGACTATGATGTTTGCGGAATGGTCGACGTCTGCTTTCCGGGACCAGGTCGCTACTCAGCTGAAAAAGCACCGAAGACGAGGGAGTGCGTGGTGTGTTCCCAGCACATCGACACGTCGTTCCTACATCCCCTTTCAAGCCTTTGTTTTGTCCTTTTCCTCGTTTCTTTTTAATAGTAAGTCAAGCGGGCGAGGAAATATTGCTATCCTGCAGTGAATACGCATTGCTGTCCCGCAGTGGAGCGCAGTCAACGACAGGGGAACAGTCGATCGAGCCGGAGGGTTGTCGATGGCTGCTAGTCGGCAGGCCAGCCTCAATCAGCGGGCAGCGGACGGTAGCGCGCTACCTGAGGCAGTACATGTACTATTAGTCAGTGTTAGCGCAAGAAGATGCTTGTGCAGCCGGAACCGCATTCAATGTACTTTGCGGAAGAATGACGGAAGAGTTTCCCGAGCAGCGACTAATGACAACACCCGACGACGGGAACTCTGGCAAAAGGGAGAAGTGTGAAGGAAGACGTCACCTTGTCTGTCTCAGCGAGTCAGTACAGATATTGCAGGTAAGGCCGCTAAGAACCAGGTTTCTAAAAATGACTCGCGATCATGACACAGTACTGTCAAGGGTAATAGTGCGCTCTCAAGAGTGTCACTGTGCAACAGTTACTTGCATACAGCAGGGTCTAAAACTCGCATCACGTGTTTCAAATGTGATTTGTACGGCGTATAACGAAAATAGCGTCCGTGCATACAGTTCTCTCGAAACTCTAGTGACGTGTTGGCTTTTTCTTCTTCATTCACCACCTTGCTAGTGGACATACGTCGTACCTCTTTTCACTTCAGGTTTTTACGCTTTCAATATCCCTTTGATAGTTCTCAATATCCCTTTGGTAGTTATGTTACTGTTCATTTGATTGGCAAACGCAAAGCCACTAGAACCCTCAGAAGACGGAGCAAGGGGAAATCCCTAATACCGCCGTCACAGCATAGCACAGTGCTACACTTGAGTTCATCTGGGACTCGAGCAGTGTTGCAAGCCTGTCTCTGCCAGAATCTTGTCCCTCGCTCTCCTAGCCTGTTTGGCCTCCATGACCTTACTCATTTTGTCAGTTCAACGAAACCTGACATCAGCATATTGCCTGGAGTTTCGTTTTGCAGGGTTTCGAAAATTCATAATGCCTGCATCCTGTCAAGGTGAACATCTCTTTCGGATCGAAACCTTTATGAGTTTGTCTGTACACATTTATTGCTTCAAGAACATGATACGCTGCCGTTGTCTCGCCACGTTGCGATGAGCCTGTTACAGTGTAACATGTAATTCAGGTCAAGACTCGGCGCTTGCTTGCTCATTGCTTGCTCACTCGCCATTCAGCCAATGAAATTTTCGGCCTTCGAGTAGGCAGTCGGTGGCGAAAAATAACTTTTTCTGACTCACTGATGTGAACTAGCATCCGGGCTTTACTCTAGTGCATAGCACAGGTGCAAACAAGTGAAGTAGCACCAAGAGTAACACGCTGCTATACTCTTTGGTAGTACATACATACATGTACATGGCATTGGGCCAGGCTAGATGATGAAGAAGCTTGTCAGCGCATTCATAAACGCTGCTTAGCCATGGCGGCAACTTTTATTATAATTTTTACTTCAATAACACTACCGCTAGCAACACCCAAGACTATTTTTCTCTTGTTCCCATTTGAGTGTTTTTAATCGGATTTCTATCATGCTTCTGGCCGATATACTACTCTCTACTGACACACGAGTTTGTATGGCATTGTTATGTTTTTACAAAGACGGTCACAGTTGTGACCAGGGAGTTGTCCCTCTCGCTGGTTGTGACCGTCTCATCATCACCAGCCAGCCAGCCGCCACTACCTGCAATGTACATGTGTACGTGTATACCGGTGTGCGATGTTGACAGTAGCCTGTGCAGTCACCTAGTACATCTATCTGCTGAAGCATCGCAATTTGGCACAGTTTACTCCAAAGCAATACTCTGGCACTAGAGTGAGCAGTTGTCTTCTCCTGCATATGGGCCTGAGTTTCGGGTTGGAGAGTGCTTCGCCCCCTGTGATACCGTTTTTCCTCGATTAATGGACCATGCTCGAATAATAGACCATGCTCAAATAGTAGACCCTCCTAGAGGCCTCACGGAAAAATAGTACACCATGCCCGAATAAGAGACCCGGTCTCTTATTTGAGTTCATCGCTTTGCGCATGCGCACTAAGAAAGCACGTGGTGGATCAGAAAAGGACGCGATTTTAGGTTGCGCAACTACAATGGACCGTATGCGTGTTAAAACAAAATGGCGTCACGATTTATTGAAAGTGGTATAGTTGGTGGTACGAGTGTTCAAACCCATTTGAACTTCATACTGTTCGTCTTCTTTTTGACATGCTCTCTTTCCATCGTCCTTAGCTTTTGTTTGTTGAGAGCTGTTTTGGCTTTCTCCTATACCTCTGGGGGATGCCAAGTGATGGTTTTGAGAGGCTGGTGATGGCTGTGAGCGACAGTTTGCCGATCGGCGTCGTCCTCGCTATAGCGATGAAAATACTAGTTACTGCGCACCTGGCAGATATCACAACACGTCGGAGCGTCCAGGAGCAAAGGAATCTTGGGTTTTCACTGGAATCTAGTTCCTCCAGCATCGTGTAGCCCACCGTCGGTGAATGGCGGTCCAGAAAGGTCGAACCTGGTCTTCTGCAGCATCTCGCAGTCCTGCGAGGCACACTGAATACGCCTGTCATGTATTCTACAAATAAAAATCTCGAAGTAGTGGACTTTACAGTGATGAGTCTATCCTGTATGCTACAAAAGACGCAGGGAATGTGACTGGTGTCCGTACATTGGACGCCAATATCATCCCAGTCTTCTCCTCATCGATCTGTTTGACATTGACATACCGGTATGCAGTGGGTCGACATTGGCCTGGTTTGGCAGCTATCTGCCTGGGTGGATGTAGCAGGTTTGCATTGGCGCGTCGTCCAGTCCGACATTTTCTTGTAACTGTGGAGTACCGGCAGGGTTTGAGAGGTTGCTCGTGCTGTGAACACATCTCTACTGCCTGTCTCGTCCTGGAAGTGCCGTCTCGCCGCTTCCTTGCTCTACAGTCGCCCCGTTATTTCGCTTTGTTTCGTGGTGCAGCTCAAAACCTGCCCAAACAACTGTGAGCTCGCAACATGGTATGGACAAATTGCACCACTCATGCTGGTTAACTAAAACCGGGATAGTCGAGTAAGCGAGTTCACTCCCTGGGCCATGGCAAGATCTGTTCAGCGCGGGCTATTCCAACCTCCAAGTGCATAGTCACCGATCGATCCATGCGATGGTGGTTGACCTACAAAGAGCCAAGGTCTACGAGTACTACTATTGGATGCTGTCTACATGCAGTCAACA